ATTAGTCGTAACTCAGATTTAAATTAATCCAATTGTACTAAATTTGAACACTTAAATATTGTAACTAGTGATATTGGCAATAAATAAATTTCTCATATATTAATGAAAAAACATCAAAGCAATTAATCTAATCTAACTATGATGTCCATGGTTAATTATCTCTACGTGTGTTTAAAACAAAAAATCTAAAAGGTAATACATAATAATTAATGACATCATGTAATAGTTATTAATTTATAATAACTACTATTAATTGAAAAATAAGCATGTTAAAATAGAAAATAGGAGTTACAATTGAAATTATGCATAGTTTCTAATGCTAAAATCATTTACTTAACTAATCGCTTTTTTTTATTTTATTATTTATTGTATTACTATTTACATAAATTTACAAAGAAATAATTTTCTATTATAAGGTTAATCAAATAAGTAATTAAAGAAACTTCACAATTGGAAGCTTTGCGCCATTCAAATACAATAAAAACTTTAGTTCATGTTGCCTTCACAGAGAGTGTTTCTTTAATGCTTATGGTTCGTCGAGACAGTAGTTGCATTATTAAGTTTTTTAAGCCATTTGTGAATAGATAGGAGGATGTCTAAGCCGAAAACAGGACCTCAGGATTTACCTCCTAAAGGAGGATATGCACCTTTTCAAATTAATCGTGTTAAATTGGGAAATTACTTTAAAGGTATAAATGAACCTGTAACATATAATTAGGTTATTATGTAATAAGTTACTATAATTTGACTTGAAATGTTTTAAATAATAACAAATGATCGAAGTTAACAGATTTAAACAAATTGTGCAATATATTGACATTTAGTTATTTATTTTCATAAATTCATATTGTAAAGATTGAAGAAATAATAACGATAATAATAACTGTCGTTTGTATAAAATTACTATCAAAAATGTAAATACTACAATAAGTTTTAGTATTATCAAGACTTTTATTTGAAATTTTATTGTACTAATAGGTTTTTACAGTTTTTATTTTTACTTTTATGATTTTAATAGTTAACAGAACATGGTTATTGCATAACAAAACTTACATATAATATTTGGTAAAGCATAAAATAGAAATTCCAGTATTCCAAAATGTATTATCTAAATATTCTATTGTATGAACAGTATATTTTCCTCAATAATTAAGCATGTTTTTTGTTTTCTCATATTGAAATTAAAGAAGAATGTAATGAAATTTTCTCATTTTTCTAAATCGTTATCATTTATGTCCTTGACATAAACTAAACTGTTAGTAATTTTCAAAAGTATTTTACCACTTTCATAGCTTTGTAAAACACTTTTGTAAACACCATAAGTAAACATTTAATTTACATGATAATTTACGATGTTTTGTAAACTCTAAGAAAGAATTCAGCATTTCAATATTAGTTTATCTTTATTAACTTCTACAGTTTCAGTCAAATTCTAGTTTGGAAAAATTTATTTACATTTAAAGTTGTGTATATAGAATTATATAAATTTTGTGATGTAGTGAATTTTAAATAAATAATTAATTTCAGGTCCCTGGCCTTATCTAGCATATTTAGCTATAAACTTGTATGCAATGCGAACATACCACGGAATATGGCTAGAAAAATTTAAGGAAAATTTGGCTAATCGGGGTAATGAGTTGATTATACGCACCCTTATACATGCTGAAAATGATAGAAAGTAAGACATTCTTTTGATATAATTTTTTATTATATTTTTGATTTATTTTTTTTTTTC